AGCGTTTATTGGTGAACTGCAGTGGGGGGAGCTTCACTGAAGGAGGAGTTTCACTGGAGGAGGAGGAGCATCACTGAAGGAGGAGATCTGGCAAAATCAATAAGAAAACACATACTGAGTTTGTTTTTATACTAATTTACACATTTTAAATGTTTATGCCCACCTTTTCTATCTAGTAAAGTAACTTTTAAGTTAATTAATCTCAAAGGTCTGATTTCACAGACAGGGCTTGGATTAAGCCAGGAATAGGCCTTTGATCAATTAGGGCATTTAAGTAGCTTTCGGGCTAGGGGTGTAACGATACCCTCATGTTAGGATTCGATATATATCATAATAGTGAACTCCGAATATCGAATGATATTGCGATACTGCAAGACATATGGTAAAAGGTAAACAAAGAAATTACTGTTGATTAAAATGCTAAATTTGGTATTACATTGGGAGTGGAAATGAAAAGGTTTGGACTTGGTGCTGGGAAACCAATGCACAGGACCACAGACACCAGAATAAAAAGAATTCATGATTCTGAAGCTGAAAATACAGAATTATATTTAGATGAATATGCTTGCAATGTTATTGGTAACATAGGACATTTGGCATTATCAGTACTGACAAATATCCCCCTCATTGCTTTATTATACTCAACATAATACAGTAGTTTAATGTAGTACCACCGACACTAAAACTCTATAAACTTGAATTTTTTTGCATACAGTAATTTTCATTTTGGGTGAACTACACTCAAAACCGTTTGTTACTATCCGCGCAACGCCCTGAACACGCACTAAATGTAGACTATCTTGAATACCGCATTGGGGCATATCCTATCATGCATTAGGTGCGGGAACTCGCATGCCCCGAAATCACAAGATGATGAGGAAAACATTCCACTGCAAGTTAAATGAACTACATTTTACATGTAATTTGGTAGAAAAACACATTGTTAAAGTGTCATTATAATGTTGCAAAGATGAGTATGGTATGTGTATTTTGTACATTTGCAGCTGCTTTTTAAATCACTTAATTAAAAGCACCATATTTTTTAATTATGCCTTTTGTTACATTGGGACTACTAACCAGACATTGTTGATTTTAAAATGCAAAGAATTGAAAATTTAAATAAAGCTCTGTAAACACTTGCAATTTTGTGTCCCATTGGGTAATCAAAAGTTCTAGTCATCACACCTACTTGAACACTTGGGCTAAATGCAGGAAATACCTACATCGTGCAAGTACACAAGTGCAAAGACCGCAAGTGTGGTCCTTCAAAAAACAAAAACATTACTAATGTGCATCTTGAGACAAAACAATAGCACTGACATTTTAAAATGCACTGACATTTTGCTGCTAGAAACAGATTGTTACAGACTGTATACTGAAAGAATAAAAGTGGTCTAATGTTAAAATATTATTTCTCAAATGATACAGTAAAATTGCAGGAACATAAAGACTAATGAAACCCATCTTTATCAAACAATGTAATTTGCCGATATGAATAGTTAATTTTCTACAACTATGTTACACATCTATAAAGGAGCAGACGTCGTTTCTGGTGCAACACATGTTATATTGGGGCTTTGCATGCAATCCTGCAAGACAGATTTAACAGTACACGGTCAATCATCAGTGGAGCATCTCAATTTGGTGTGTTATCTGCTCGTCTCTGCATTAACAGCTATATTGTGCGCATTCTCACATTCAGTATGACATTTAATAATTGCTCATTATAACATTCCCTGTTGCTCACTAACCTAAATTAACATACAGTTTGCAAATCAAACATGTGAACATACAGTATATCTCGCCCCATATCAAAAATAACAAATAACCCTCGTTAAACTTAATTTGAACCTATACATTTCCCTTTGTCTGTTAAACACTTTCCAAAGTACATACATTCTCTTTCTCAGCATGACTTGTTTACTCTAAATAACACATTACACTTTAATGTTCTCTCATGTCACATTTCACGACTCTTTTATATCAGTATTGAGCAAATCACTTCGTTTGAGTTTCACGTATACCGTGAAACCGTGATATTTTCTGAGACGATTATCATACCGCGAAAATCTCATACCGTTACAACCCTATTTCTAACAATGGAAAGATTAATGCAAATGGGTGGAGTTGCTAGGGCTGTAACATATACGATATAAAATCGAAATCGCGATACTCAGGTCCACGATACTGTATCGCGATGTGAGATGGCAGAATCGCGATACACCCCTTCCACCTCCCAGTTATCTTTCCCATCCAGATCCAATGCTATCTTTGAATTACTATTTATATTATTTGAAGTTAACATTATAAAATATGTAGACCTACACCACAAAACTAGTTGAGGTTAAATTAGGCAAAACTGAAATCCATCAAAATAATACATTCTCAGAAAATGCATTTAATACCAATATATTGACACTTCTGTTTATATATCCATAGCCTACTCCCTTAATAAAATCCAGTACGTCCACACATTAGAAAAATACAAGTCTACACTTGCATTTTATATTTAATATGAAGGAAATACACACGCGTACATGGACGCGACACAAAACATCTTTAATATTTAGGTAGCAAAAATATAGCCTATATTTTTTATAATTCTGTAAATTACACTGTACAAACCAAAATAAATACTAGGCTGCCCACCGAATATATATTTATATATTTATATTTACCATATATAGGGCGCACCGGATTATAAAGCTCATAAGATACTGCAGTCAAACGTTTGACTGGGTTTGCGTTATGCATCCACTATGTGCTAAAGGCTAAAGAGAATGTAGCGAGTGCGCGGCGCCGGAGGTGAGGCGTTTATTTAGTAAGCATGAGCGCGCTGAAGCTGAAGCGGGCACGTACATTCGCAGCCTGACCCATATGAGTATTCAATGTGCGAGGCTCGCTAACAGCAACAGTTGGCTGTTTTGAATGAGACGACACGGTTACCGTGAACAACGGGGAGCGCTTTATGCGCGAGCAGCACCGGGGACAGTGGGTCTGTTAAGAGTGCGGGCATGTGATTTACACACATAAAAATACGTACTACTTTTTTTTTCTTCGTCATTTTCTTTGCTTTATTTGTGGTAGTCCAGTGTTCCTCTTTATGTTTGGCGGTTTCGCCGGGTCCCGCATGGAAGTTAGAGAAAATAGAGGAGTCAACGGTTATATGACGCCATAAACGGGCGACGAAACGGAAATAAAGAAACGTCCCGTGTCTTCGAATTAAACTATTATAGATACAGTTATTTTTGCTATTTTTAAAGCAGAAAAAATACATTTTGTGGTTTTAAAATGATGGTACACGGCAACCTTTTCACGACTTCAAAGACAGACGCAGGTAATCGCATGTGCTCTGCTGATATATCTGGCTACACATAATCACCAAAATAAAACAGTCTTGTTATCATATTACATTATATACTTGTTTAACATGCAATACATGCATGAAGTTCAAAACAAGAAGGGTATTAGCCTTATAAAAAATATATTGTTGGAGCACAGAAAACAACCCAAAAGCAGCAGCCTACACTGCCTAGTTTAGTTTAATAATTTGCATAGTTATTATTGTTTTTTTGGTGTTCAGATTCTATATGTTTCTCCAAATGTTATTTAATAAAAATACCTGTATATTTTTTCCTCTCAAAATCTATTTTTCAGCCCAAGCCTCGCCCCCGTGATAGAATCGCGATACGAATCGAATCGTGGGTCAAAAATCGTGATACGAACCGAATCGTGGGTTTGGTGTATCGTTACAGCCCTAGGAGTTGCCCTTTAACTCTAATGTCCCCGCTGCGTAACTTGGGCAAAATGGCGGACACCCGCGAACTCCACGTGTGTTACTGAACTCGCGTCACTTAAACTATTATTTACCCATCAATATCACACAACCTCTACATAACAGTACTGTCTTTCCATCTCCATTGCATAATACCAATTATCGTTTCACATACGAAGTTTCATTGCCGCGTTGTTTCTGATCACGCTCTATCCACGGGTGATAACAATTTCGTGCTCAAAACTTACGTTACTTAACATAAATCCTAAATACTCAAATACTAAACATAACTGTTCGTGGACCCATTTGACTTAAGTAATCTTACCTGTAAAAAAGATATAACAGTAGCAACACAGTCAATCATCAGTTGAGCAGCTCTGCTAGTTGCACGTGGCCGCCATTTTGGATTTCTGATCCGTAACTGAACTCAAACTGACGCGCTTACATCAACGTCATCGTTATCAGCCACTCCCTCTATTCGCTGATTGGTCCTACAAAAAATTGATTTCTGGAAACCTAAGGATACACAGCAGTACCAGACGCAGTACTGTCAATCTTTGTTTGAAATTTCATAAGGATCCAAACCGTTGATAGTGCCTATTTTGTCCACATACCGGTCCCTGGCTCCCCTAGTTAACGTTTCCCGGTATATTCCACATCCTTTTAGGGAATTTATTTCTTTTCTTTCTCTCAACTCCGCTTCTCCTCATTCAACTTGCTGTTTCGCTAGCTGCCAACATAACCGCCACGCCAGTAATGACATCACGACGCCCAAGCCCTATAAACCCATAGATATGATGTCTATGTATAAACCTATCCAACGCGTTGTACATTTGTTGATACCAACCACAAACATTTCTATTTGAAGAACTCATATTAAACACGCTTTTATCCCATTTTAAACACAATAAACAGTTGAGAGAAGAAGCGCGCGCTTACCTCCAGCAGCGTCGGCCATTTTGATGAACTACGGTGCGCGATCATGGACAAAACAACGTAGTGCAATACACTAACCACACTAAAAGTAGCCTACTAAACTCCATTTGATTTAGTTTAACATCTAATTTCGTGTAATTTCCAACGATGAATATCATTAGAATTGACGTCTTGAAATCCAATTCGGATGAATTTATCAGTGGTGTTGTAAAAATCTACATTATTACTAGAGTTTAAGAAATAGTTATAATTCAAGCGAACGTTTTGCTCCATATAAGAAAAAAAATTATCAGATTTTAATTCACTTTATTAAAGGAGGGGAATGTTAAACACATACAATTTATTTTTCACTCCATTTACACTGAACTATCAAATATTAAACTTTTACACGTGTGTTAAATAAGGCACAAGTCAACATAAAAACATCCTGTACAAACGTTCACGTGATGCAAGAAAACATTTTTCCGTAACTCATGACATTCAATATTTACATTCATATTTTACAAGGACGTAATTGAGCGATGAAACGACTGGACGGTAAAACCTGGTGCTGCGTTTGATGAAAGTGTTTCATGTTAAATATCAGACGCTGTTCAGGGTGAAAGTTTGAAAATGCATTTTTACAGAATCATTTGGTTGGTTTTGTTGTCATTAAAAGGCCTTATTTAAAGACTGAGTTACAGATGTAGTGTGTTTCTGGTTGATTGTGAGTTTATCTGAAGGATTGTCCACTCGTCTGCGGGAGCTTTCACAGAAAGCAGGATAAATCCCCTCATCTCCTCAGACTCTCAGTGTCACAGTTTAATGTCCTGAGACTCGGACATCTTGGCGAGCGTCTTCTTCACGCGCAGGGCGGTCAGACGGGACGCCGGATTGTGAGCCCAACACTCGGTCATCAGTTTACCCATCAGCCTCAGACACTGGACACACACACACACGGCAAGATTAGTGCTTTATACTACAGAATTTGTTTTGAAATCATTGAGGTTGACAATTTCTGTATATTTTAAACTAAAATAGTCATTATGAAGCCCTGTGTTTGTATTTTAAATACAAAAATTGTGTTAGTCTGGTTAAATCCAAGTTGGCTGAAGTCCAAGTCGGGTAAGGAGATTGATTGGACAGGTTTATCAGGAAAATGTTATTAATTCAGAGGGTTAAGAAGGTAAACCTCACACCTCATCGCTGCTCCAGCGGTTTGCAAACGAGGGTCTCTGTCTCTTGATACACACCACCTCCCTCATGTCCTCGTAGGACGGGTCTGTCGGCACCAGATCGTGATACGGCAGCTGATATTCCTCCACAATCCCTGCAGGACAACATCAGCCATGAGGAGGAGGATTAAATTATTTCATGAAATCAAAATGTTCCTACTGATCATCTGAGTCACTGTGAGTGAGTCTTACAGATACATTACTCAAAGGAAACAAATATCCTGTTCATGATTAAAACATAATAACTTGCTCCGCCTCTAAAATGACATTCCATTTCTGCTGACCAATCACAGCACAGCTTAACTCGGTTCCATCCAATCAGAAGCAATGAAAACACATGTGATTTGGCAAAGGCTGAAATTACTTTATGCACAGTTTATGAGTGCAGCGGCTGATCGGGAGTAAATGCTGCTCCGTCTGAACACTAGAGGGCACTCTCTCTGTGTAAAGCCCATTCACACCAACAGCGACACGCAGCGACAAAGCGACATGATCCCATGCATTATAATGGAACCTGGGGATTGATTCACTGTTTCATATGATTTGACTGTAACCACATAAATGGATGTAATAAAAGTCTGCATGGAAAACAAACTGTCGACAGTCTCAGTGAGTTTGATTCATGCTCTGATAGTTTGTGTGTTGTAATTGTATGGTGCAAGTTTAGCACTGCTGCAGTTCATTTGACACTTTCCCCTGAATTATGTTGATTATTAGGGACCAGAAAACGGATCATTTGTCAAATTAGAATGACGGAACTGCTGACAGTATGAGTGAGTTTAATTTGTTGATTAATTGATCGTTAATCTAGTTAATGATTTAATGTGCTGAGCACTGCTGTGCCTAATACACTCCAACAGCATATTAGTTTTTAAATCTTTTAAGCCTAATTCCAATTGATATGTACAATGAAATCTTACTATTACATTACTTGTGATTGTACTTTCTATAGATATGGCCAGACGTGTAGTTTAACAATAACATCAGAGCGACTCGCGACATGCGGTGTGAACGGGCTTAAAGGGATACTCCACTTTTTTTGGAAATAGGCTCATTTTACCACTCCCCCAGAGTTAAACGTTTGAGTTTTACCGTTTCCGAATCCATTCAGCCGTTTTTTCCGGATATTTAGAAGAATATCAGTAACCAGACCGTTTCTGGTCTCATTGACTTCCATAGTAGGAAAAAAAATATACTATGGAAGTCAATGAGACCAGAAACTGTCTGGTTACTGATATTCTAAATATCAGAAAATCTGCTGAAAACATCTGAAAACGTTAAAACTCAAATGTTTAACTCTGGGGGAGTGATAAAATGAGCCTATTTACAAAAAAAAAGTGGAGTATGCCTTTAAGAAGCACACCATCTCACAGAAGGATTTTGGAGTAAAAGCATGTTATTAAATGCTGTCTTTTGTTAGACAAGACATAGTTCATAAGTTCATAAATGCTTCTCATGTTTGGAAAGATGTTTGACATGTGTTGCTTTTTCAAATGCACAATATAAGAAACAGAGTACAGCGAGTGAGTGTGTGTGGATCGCAGAAACAGATCACTAATGTCCTCTCACCCACACTGTTTATATTCTGCACAAACAATTGTATTAGTGCCCATTTAGGGAGATATCTCATCAAATGCATTAGTTAGTCTCCTTCAGGGGGAGGAGTTGTGTTTTTAATGAATTTGTTTCTTGGTTTGACATGTCAAACCTTAAAGGTACAATATGTAAGAATTTTGTAACAAAATATCCAAAAATCACTTGCACAGTGTGATATATTTTCTGCAGTTGTGTACTTAGAATATCGCAAAAGATTTTTTCCAGGTTTAAATAAGTGGCCGTCCCAGAAAAAAATGTCGCCTGTCAATGACGCAATATCCGCGCTATCCTCGGTTTCCGCTCGTACTGCCGTAGCCATGACGTAACCATGGCGACAGACGTGGACAACTGCGTAGTGCGTAACGTTTAGCGACACAGTTATCGTTTCTTTCAAACATAGACCATGGCAAGCAGACTTTGGGACAAACAACGAGAACTAAAATGAGGATCAATATCAGCGTGGCGTTTTTGAGTTGCCGAGAGCTAGCGTCCGCGACTAACTTGGACTCGACAGAGCTTCACGAGTCACGACTTGACAGCTTTATTGCACAGGTGAGCAAATGTACATAAAACAAATCAATGTTATATAAAGTTAGCTCAACATGATGAAATATTAGAATATGGTTAGTATGTTATTGTAATGTAGCGAACTGCTATAAGTATAGCGTATATTTCGTATAGCAAACGAACTACCACATAGAATAACATTATAACTTTCAACACACGTTTAATTGCCGTTTAGTGCGTTAGACCAAGTGAAGCAGCGCTGCGTTACCTCACAAGTTTAATTCGTCTAATAAACTGAGTAAGTTGCGTGTAGTTCGGTTGAATTAAATGTCCTTATTCCTTTATATTCGTGGGACTCGCATCTGATATCTGTCTCTTTAGCAATCACAACCTGCTAAATACCACTGTAATGTTAAAACACATGAATTATTAGATCCATCAGCTTGACAGCAAGTCCCATCATTCAGCTCATCACAGCGTCATCAACCTACGCCTGTGTTATTGTTGGAAACTGCGCCCTCTTGTGGAGAAAAAAACTGACTTACATAGTAGGAAAAAAAATACTATAGAAGTCAATGGGTCCAGTTAGCTGTTTGGTTACTGACTTGAGTGTTTTGTAATTCGTTTATTGAAAGTGTTTTTACATTTTGTATCACCTGTTGGTTTGAAAATGTCACAGTGGAATAAAAGATTTCCCTTAGTTTTCAGTATTGCGAGTAAACTAATTGGAAACTAAAAGAAACTTGAACAAATCTATCAAACCAGATGCCTTAGAAAAGCTACAAAAATCTGCTCTAAAGTCCGTTACACCCTATTTCAGATAAATTTTAGATTAATTGTGCGGCCCTACAGGTTAATATTAGTTTTCTCAATGCGTTGAGTGTGCTGAACTCACCCCCGGACACACATCTCCTGGCCATCTCCCATAGGATCAGGCCGAAGCTGTACATGTCGGCCATGATGTAGGACTGGAAATGGCATCGGTTCAAGCTCTCGTCCAAGACCTCGGGAGGCATGTAGCGTTTGGTGCCGACCCGTGTGTTTGGTGGGATATCCACTTCATTAGTGTCACTGAGAACAAATCAACACCAGCCAGTTAAACGACTAACATCAGTCCGACGGCACCTGCCCAATAAAACTGTGTTTGATAATCAACATATTTAAAGTCCCCCAGTGGTGAAAATCCAGCGTTTAATGCTGTTTATGTGTGTATGTGGTGTTTTTATACGCTTTAACACACACCATGTGTGCGTTGATAAGTGGACAGCATTGCTGAGTATTTCCTCCTTAAAACTGCAGTGAACCAAAGACAGTCTCAAAAACACGCTTTGAAATCGCTGGTGTTATGTATAAGTTTACTAAAACATACATTTTTCATCATTAATAATTTTATACAAATACAATCATAATATTACAATGATAACTGATAGGATGTTTGATATACATATTTGTCTAAAAATAAATAAAACAATGCAACAAAATAAAATAAATAATAAAACCATCACGTATGCTTATAGATTATCTCTCTCTCTCTCTCTATATATATATATATATATTTATTTATTTATTTATATATTTATTTAAGAAAAAAATTCTTTAACCATTCTTTGTTTTTAATGTTCCGCTGATAACTGATGTGATAGGTGATATAAATCTAGTGAAACAGAGGTATTGTGTGCGTCACCTGATGAATTTGACGGCGAGCCCCAGGTCCGCGATGCAGCAGGTTCCGTTCTTCTTCACCAGGATGTTTTTGCTCTTCAGGTCTCGGTGAGCGATGGCCGGTTTGCCCTGCGTGCCGAAGATCTCGGTGTGGAGGTGGCAGAGGCCCGAGACTGCCGAGTACGCCAAACGTAGAAGAGATTTGGTGTCCAGCGTGGTGGATTTGAGGTAGTCGTACAGCGAGCCATTCTCGTGATAGTCTGTGATCAGATACAGCTGCGTCCACGAGCCCGTACCTTTTATATCAGCTGCGATGAATCCTGGCGGAAACACAGAAGAATACAGGTTCATGTTGATATGATCTAGTGCTCACCTGATATAGCGGCATAATTTTTCATTATTAGCATTTGGTGTCGGAAGTAGGACTTTTATTTTGACAGTGCTGAGAATTAGTTTACTCTCTCTGTTTAACAGTTCTAGTGATGTGATGTGATGTGTGATGTGATGTGATGCGATGTGTGTGATGTGATGTGATGAGTGATGTGATGTGTGTGATGTGTGATGTGAAGTGGGATGTGACGTGTGTGATGTGATGTGTAATGTGATGTGTGTGATGTGTGATGTGTGTGATGTGATGTGTGATGTGATGTGTGTGATGTGTGATGTGATGTGTGATGTGATGAGTGATGTGTGTGATGTGTGTGTGATGTGTGATGTGATGTGTGATGTGATGTGATGAGTGATGTGTGATGTGTGTGATGTGTGTGATGTGATGTCTGATGTGATGCGATGTGTGTGATGTGATGTCATGTGTGATGTGATGTGTGTGATGTGATGTGTGATGTGATGTGTGATGTGATGTGTGATGTATTGTGTGATGTGTGTGATGTGAAGTGTGATGTGATGTGTGTGATGTGTGTGATGTGTGTGATGTGATGTGTGATGTGATGAGTGATGTGTGATGTGATGTGTGTGATGTGATGTGTGTGTGATGTGTGATGTGATGTGTGATGTGATGTGTGATGTGTGATGTGATGTGTGTGATGTGTGATGTGTGTGATGTGATGTGATGTGTGTGATGTGATATGTGTGATGTGATGTGTGATGTGATGTGATGTGTGTGATGTGATGTGTGTGATGTGTGATGTGATGTGTGTGATGTGATGTGTGTGATGTGATGAGTGATGTGTGATGTGATGTGTGTGATGTGATGTGTGTGTGATGTGTGATGTGATGTGTGATGTGATGTGTGATGTGTGTGATGTGTGTGATGTGATGTGTGTGATGTGTGTGATGTGATATGTGTGATGTGATGTGTGATGTGATGAGTGATGTGATGTGTGTGATGTGATGTGTGTGTGATGTGTGATGTGATGTGTGTGATGTGATGTGTGTGATGTGATGAGTGATGTGTGATGTGATGTGTGTGATGTGATGTGTGTGTGATGTGTGATGTGATGTGTGATGTGATGTGTGATGTGTGTGATGTGTGTGATGTGATGTGTGTGATGTGTGTGATGTGATATGTGTGATGTGATGTGTGATGTGATGTGTGTGATGTGATGTGTGTGATGTGATGAGTGATGTGATGTGTGTGATGTGATGTGTGTGTGATGTGTGATGTGATGTGATGTGATGTGTGATGTGATGTGTGATGTGATGTGTGTGATGTGATGTGATGTGTGATGTGTGATGTGATGTGTGATGTGATGTGTGATGTGTGTGATGTGTGTGATGTGATGTGTGTGATGTGTGTGATGTGATGTGTGTGATGTGATGTGTGATGTGATGTGTGTGATGTGATGTGTGTGATGTGATGAGTGATGTGATGTGTGATGTGATGTGTGATGTATGTGATGTGTGATGTGTGATGTATGTGATGTGTGATGTGATGTGTGTGATGTGTGTGATGTGTGTGATGTGATGTGATGTGTGTGATGTGTGTGATGTGATGTGTGTGATGTGATGTGTGATGTGATGAGTGATGTGATGTGTGATGTGTGATGTGATGAGTGATGTGATGTGTGATGTGTGTGATGTGATGAGTGATGTGATGTGTGATGTGATGTGTGATGTGTGATGTATGTGATGTGTGATGTATGTGATGTGTGATGTGATGTGTGTGATGTGTGATGTGTGTGATGTGTGTGATGTGATGTGATGTGTGTGATGTGATGTGTGTGATGTGATGTGTGATGTGTGATGTGATGAGTGATGTGATGAGTGATGTGATGTGATGTGTGATGTATGTGATGTGTGATGTGTGTGATGTGATGTGTGTGATGTGATGAGTGATGTGATGTGTGATGTGATGTGTGATGTGATGTGTCATACCCAGTATGTTCTCGTGCCTCATCAGGACGGTCTGGTAGATCTCGGTCTCTCTGAACCAGCTGGCCTCTTCTGTGGTGAAGAAGACCTTGACAGCGACTCGTTCGCCCCTCCATCGGCCCATCCACACCTCTCCGTACCGGCCCTTCCCGATCTGCTTCACCATCTGGATCTGCTTGGCGATGGTTCGCTGCACCTGTGACCAGATCATGGGACAAACACGTTAACAGAAGACAAAAAGACATGGAGGCCTGTTGTAATGATTTAAGCTCATGCTAAGACGCAAGTGCGAATCCACTTTTGCTAGTTTAACGACGGGAAAATAGGTCGGCTCTCCCGGCGCATGGTCTAAAAGGGTTGTCACTATTCTCTTAATGAGTAATGGGTGTGTTTTGTCTATTCTCTTAATCAGTAATGGGTGTGTTTCAGGCGTTACGTGCAATAAACCAATCAGAGTCTCGTCTCCCATTCCCTTTAAAAGCCAGCTGCGCTTGCGTGACGGCGGATTCGCTAGTTACATGGAGGAATTAGCAAGAGGAAAAAAGTAACGCTTCTCCAGATAGGAAACGGATCTGCTTGTGCTCAAGGTTAAAGCTCTGTGTGTGTGTGTGTGTGTGTGAGGTTAAAGCACAAGCAGACTATCTACGGGACAAGCCGGATTCCACCATATATTTATGTACACAATATTAATCTTTTACATTGTACTTCTTTTATTTAAAACATTTGGCTGAATTGTGTGCTGCTGCGCGTCACTGTGTGTTATAAGCAGACTGTGTGTGCGTGTGTGTGTGCATGTGTGTGTGCAGTTGGTCAATGGCTCAGTTTATTTCAGTTCCTCAAAATAGCAACGCTCCAACACTGCGCCCGAACACACACTCCATCTCAGACCAGCAGCCCACGGGCCACAGATGAGAACGCAAATACATTTACTATTTAAACAAAGAGGCGCAGGACGTGAAAATGCAAACTGCGTCGGGCTGAAACTAGCTAAACACACTTGCGTCGCGGCGGGTTGTGTGATAGAGCACATGATGATGACACAAACAAAGCTTCTCCAAACCGTGAATCAACTGATTCATAAAACGATTCACTGATTCAAAGCGCTCTGGTCACAATGAAAACTCACACACGGATAAAAACACCTCGACCAACTGATAATGTTGTTCTTCATCTATTAAATGCAATTAACAACCTGTCTAACAACATTAAAGATGAAGTGTTTGTATAATGTGTGTTATTTTATTACACTGTCATTTATTGCACATCATTTATTACAATTATATATAAGGGCTGTCAAGCCATTCAAATGTTTACACGATTCATTATCTATTTAATTACCCTCCAAATATAATTTCATATATTATAATAATATAACTATAAGTCATTATTGTGTTAAATGAGAAAAGCATCAGATACATACATTATTACATTAAATTAAAACATTACATTACAAAAAATGTTAGTATTTTATTTCAAAATTGAATTTATTTAAAACTTTTAGACTACAAAAGCCATGAGGGAGAGTAAACGATGACAGAAGTTTCATTTTTGGTTGAACTACAGTATACTTTTGATGAGTTTTTTTTTAACATTTTATATGGAAATATTAAATATATTTTAATGATATTCTAAATAAGAAGCTACCGAAATGAAGCTTGTTGATCTGCAGTCGCGGGTCTTTCATGCGGAGACTCTCCTCATATTAATGCATAATAATGATGCATTTAAAAGTGTGTGTGTGTGTGTGTGTGTGTGTCTGACCAGCAGAGGGAGTCCTGATCCGCTGCCGGAGCTCTGAGACTGTTCAATCAGATCCTTCAGAGACTCTCCCGCGGGAATGAAGGAGTCGTCCTGTTCCAGACCCATGCTGTAGCGTGCGCGTGTCTCTTGCCGCTTGTACCTGACACACACACACACACACACACACACACACACACACACACACACACACACAGAGACAGATAGACATGCACACACACACACACACACACACAGAGGACAGGACATCAACTACAGTGTACTGAAGCTTCCTAAGAGTGATGATGATGATGATGATGATAATGATGATGATGAAGATGATGGTGTACCTGTAGTAGCAGAAGATGATGATGAGGACCAGGATGATGCAGCAGACGGTCACTGAGATGAGCAGAGCCATGTAATGAATGCTGCTGTCCAGATCTGAGGACACACACACTTCAGTCACATGATGTGAATTACAGACATGCAGCAGCTTCATCTCATGCTGATGGGCATGAGCTGTTATGAGCTGAAACCACTGAGTGTCAAAGTGATCCGAGGCACTATTATCACAATAAAACCCCAGCAACCTCATGGCAACCACCCTGATCACCCTAACAACCACCTGGCAACCACCCTGATGACCCTAACAACCACCTGGCAACCACCCTGTACCACCATGGTACCACCATGATCACCCTAACAACCACCTGGCAACCACCCTGATCACCCTAACAACCACCTGGTAACCACCCTGATGACCCTAACAACCACCTGGCAACTACCCTGATCCTCCTACCAACCACCTGGCAACCACCCTGTATTCCCAACCACAACACAACCCCGACCACCACCATGATTATCCTAACAACTACCTGGCAACCACCCTGATTACCCAAGCAACCACCCTGATCACCCCAGCAACCACCTGACAGCCATCCTGTCAACAACCCTCGGCAATCACTCTGATCACCCTAACAACCACCCTGATCAGCCTAACAACCACCTGGCAACCATCCTGATCACCATAGCAACCACCTGACAACCACACAAAAACATTTTTCTCAGACGAACTCACAATATCTGGAGGAAATGTAAAAATCATGTTTGAAATGTGTTTCTGTTTCTGTGGATCTGTTCTCGGGTGAGTGTGTGTTCAGGGAAACTGAGTCGTGATCGATCGCCCTCTTCCTGCAACGCTCCGCTCGAGTTTCTGACACCGATGAGACGCCGCTCACTGGGACTCTAACCTTACACACACACACACACACACACACACTCATGTTTACTTAGCTATCTAAATGGGGACATTCCATAAACTTCCTGCATTTTTACATTTTTAAAAACCTTTATTTTTATACCAGATTTACAAATAAGGATGTCTCTAAAAGGAGGTTTTTGGAGATTTTGTCAGGTTTCAATATCTGGGTATAAATTTGTCCCCAAAATACGGTAAAGTAGGTACACTCACTCACACACTCACGCTCTCTCTCTCTCACACACACACACTCACACTCAGAGGTGTCTTGCGCTGTGACAGATGAACAGATTCATCAGGAAACTCAAGAGCTCCTGTGAGACGCGTGTCCTTTTCATTAGAGCGTCACAAACACACTCAATCCCAGAAGCCCCTGCAGCCCGAGAGCTGCGGTTAGTAACAGTTTAACCTGTCAGAAACCATCAGCCCAGAACACCAGTGTGTGTGTGTGTGTGTGTGAGAGAGAGAGAGAGAGAGAGAGAGAGAGAGAGAGAGTGAGTGTGTGTGTGAGAGAGAGAAAGAGAGATAGTGAGTGAGTGTGTGTGTGAGAATGTTTTTTTGTGAGTGTGTGTATTAGAGAGAGAGAGAGAGATGTGTTCTGATCATACACAGTAATGCTATCAGACGGTCATATTCCAGTTATTTGTAAAACACATTTTCCTATTCTTCAGACGACTGTTTTCCATGTTAGAATAATAAAAAAGTGAGGAAAACTACATAGAAACAACATGACAACCACCCTGATCTCCCTAGCAACCCTTCTGCAACCTCCAAGCTGCAATAACACTCAAACAACACAAATATTACTCTGGGAAAAATGTTGTGTCTGAAATATGTGCAAAATGAAAACTCTTCTCGAAACAGCTTCTTCCTCATCTAGATTCTGGAAGTTCTCTCTAATAGATCATGTGTAATTGCTTTGCACAGAAGTCACATGCACATGTCTCTCTCTCTCTCTCATTCAATCACACACACACACACACACACTCATGCACGCACGCACACACATACACACACACACACACACACATTTCCTCATGTATCTCTCTCTCACCGGGTCTCTTGATCGGAGGCAGCGTCGGGTGCAGATCCCGGTTACAGTAATCCTGATCTGTGCAGCATTCCAGGATCCTCCTCAGACGAGCGTTCCCAGTGTCCTGAGTGGGAGAGCAGGAGTTCATGAGAGCAGACAGACACACACACCGAGGATAGATAGATGGATAGACAGACAGACAGACTGACCGACCGACCGACCGACCGACAGACAGACAGACAGATAGATAGATAGATAGATAGATAGATAGACAGACAGACAGACAGACAGACAGTCAGACAGACAGACAGACAGACAGACAGACAGACAGACAGACAGACAGACCGACCGACCGACCGACAGACAGACAGATAGATAGATAGATAGATAGATAGATAGACAGACAGACAGACAGTCAGACAGACAGTCAGACAGACAGACAGACAGACAGACAGACAGACAGACAGACAGATAGATAGATAGATAGATAGATAGATAGATAGATAGATAGATAGATAGATAGATGGATAGACAGACAGACAGACTGACCGACCGACCGACCGACCGACAGACAGATAGATAGATAGATAGATAGACAGACAGACAGACAGACAGACAGTCAGACAGACAGACAGACAGACAGACAGACAGACAGACAGACAGACAGACAGACCGACCGACCGACCGACCGACAGACAGACAGACAGATAGATAGATAGACAGACAGACAGACAGTCAGACAGACAGTCAGACAGACAGACAGACAGACAGACAGACAGACAGACAGACAGACAGACAGATAGATAGATAGATAGATAGATAGATAGATAGATAGATAGATAGATGGATAGACAGACAGACAGACTGACCGACCGACCGACCGACAGACAGATAGATAGATAGATAGATAGACAGACAGACAGACAGACAGACAGTCAGACAGACAGACAGACAGACAGACAGACAGACAGACAGACAGACAGACAGACAGACAGACCGACCGACAGACAGACAGACAGACAGACAGACAGACAGACAGACAGACAGACAGTCAGACAGACAGTCAGACAGACAGACAGACAGACAGACAGACAGACAGACAGACAGACAGACAGATAGATAGATAGATAGATAGATAGATAGATAGATAGATAGATAGATAGATAGATAGATAGATAGATAGATAGATATATCACTCACCCTGCACTGAAACTCTGATCCCATTGACCCCAGACAGCCGGATGTGAGCACTGGAGAGCCGCCCTCCTCTTCCTCCACCATTGTGAAGCAGTAACCATCAGTCCTGCATCATCATCATCATCATCATCATCATCCTCATCATCGTCACTATTACACTAATACTACTAGATCTACTAATACATGTATATATGCAAGCCCACAGGCAACCCCCCCTCTCTGCCAAAGGTCCAGGATTTAAGTCGTTTTTTTAATTTTTTTATTATTGTCATCATTGTTTTAATCAATGCTTGTGATAAATATTCTGGGTTGCTGTTTCAAAGTAATATGATTATTGTAGCTGGATGTGTGTGTGTGTGTGTGCCGCACGTGCAGTTCAGAGAGAGTTCTCGCCAGGTTCTCGCAACGGTGAAGAAGCATCGCCTCTGAATGATAGGGCTGGGGTTTGAGTCCAAAAAGAATCGATTCCTCGGCGATGGGAATTGGGAGTCGATTCCAAAGGTTACAAATTAGTTTATAAAAGATCACCAAAATGAAGTATTTGAACCTCACAATTAATACAAAAGGAGGAAAAAATCTGCAAAAAGGTCCATTTTCTGAATAAAAGAACCCCCCCCCCCCCCCTACGACCTGATATTAGATATATTAGTAGATCCATTAATAGTAGTGTAGTAAACACACATTTCTATATAAATATTGTATTAAATCAATCAATCAAAAATATTCTATGAATATAATAGTAATTTTTTTTTTTTTTTTGCATTTTCAGTGCATGTTAACCACTTAACTGTCACCGTCCCACAGGTGGGACGTTTGCCACTATATTTTTAAAACAATAATATCTTAGTAAATACCTTAAATAATATTGACAAACTATATATCATTTGAAAGCTTACAATCTCTAGTTTCCATATTTGGTGACTGATTTTCAAAATATATTACAGAGGAGCCATAATTTATCAATATAAAACAAGAATATTTTCATACTCATAAGGCGTGTTCAGACCTTTATTTTAAAATAGCAGTAAACATGAAAAATCATCAAAAAATGGTAGATACCTCAGTTTGTTTTCATGCCAAAAGTTCAAAAGATAGAATCCATTCAATTATTTTGGAAAAAAAAGGTCTGAAAAGTTTGAAATATCAAGAAAAAAATAATAAATTCACCATTTGTGACGTAGCAGCTAGCTATGACTTACATGCGTGTTCTTTGTATGCGTTTCTTAGAGGTTCAATTCATATCAAAATCTGCCAAACTTCCCATGCTACTTCTGAATAGGATCTCTACTTCAGACATTGTATGAAAATTGTGAAAATAATGGTTCATATCACTCAAAAACACAATGGAAATGCAGGCGCCCTTATATGGGCAGTAATGGAGTCTGATTGTGCCCTAGTGAAAAAGTTTGGTACTGCGCTCAAACAAAATCTCACTGAAAGCTCATTTTTTGAGATATCAACCTAAAATTTGAAACACAACTTGTTCAGATTTTTGGCTTTGATCTTTCTGCCATTTTTAGAGTAGCCCAGGTTTTGAAAATATATATTTTATGTAAAAATATGAATAATTAATATTTTTACATTGTACATTTCCATAAACTCAAACTTCTATAACTTTTTTTCTGTTTCACTTTCTTAATTTATTTCACTTCTACAAAAATCTGCCAAATGTCTTCTTTAAAACAAGACCAATCATATGTCTATATTCCAAAGCATTCTTGAATTACAACCATTTAAGTTCGAAATGTGCATTTTCATGTCTATTCAAAAATGGGCGGGTGACAGTTAACAGGTTAATGTCCTCATGCCTTGACATATAATTGTTACCGTAAAAGCGTGTGTGTGTGTGTGTGTTCTACCTGCAGGTGTTGTTGGTGGAGTCTTCAGGACAGTGATGATAACAGTGGCATAATAACATCCTCTCTGGAATCACAGGTGTTTCGCTGCCGCCCGCCGAAACCTTCCCAGAATTCCTCTGTAACATGGTGTCCAGCACATTCCCTGCAAACACACAGATTCACATTAAAATCATACACGATAGAAGATATTACAAACATTAACATAATCTGCTTTGACTGAATAACTTCTATAGCTGTAATAAGGATTCATCTGTATTAAATATATAATGTAAGTGTGTATTGTGAAAAGCACTTTACAAATAAACTTGACTATATTTTGATGTAAATTCCTGAATAATTTTTAAATCTGCCTAATATTGATATAATATTTGTGTTTATGCTTTTATGAATCTGTGGATGGTCTAATGATCACGACACAATGAGGATATTTGATTGAACCAGCGTATTATACAGTCTACATAAAAACAAAGATCATTGGAGTGAGTTTTGCGATTGAAAATAACTTCAGGATTCAGTAGTGTAGTTCTTCACAGCAATTAAACACACAATATCTTCATAATTAAGCAGATTTCATAAATCACAGAGGATTATACTTTATCACTGATGATCGATTTCACCCTAATGTGCAAAACGGCTCAAATACACATGAGAGACGAGTGTGAAGATCCATGTATTTGTGTTAATGTTAGTGATTCATCAGTGTGTGTGTGTGTGAAGAACAGCTCGTACTGTTCTGATATCACAGCTGCCAAGAAGATAAAGCCACAGATGCTCTCGGCCTTGACAAGATTATCACAAATACCCACGAGTCTCTGAGACAGACTGATGTCGCCAGGACCGGTCGTGACGCTTCAGCACGAATCATATTTCACCACAGGCAACCAATATTATCATACGCTGAAGAAAAAAATCATGCAGGATTCACTGTAAAACAACTTCCACTCAGAAACTGCTGGAAAATCTCATCAATTATTAGAAACGGCAAGAAACACATCGAATTAAACATTAAATAGAAAGACTGAAATGGCTCTACTAAACTTGTAAACGGTAAAAACTAACATCCTAAACTGCGGTATTATTATAGTTTACATTAATATTTTGAATTGTATTTTCTATTATCTTCTATTCTATCAGTTAACCCTGAATCAGACATTGCATCATGATCTCCACAGAATCATTTAGACGACCCACATAAAAGCTTAAACAACAGCAGATGTGATTGAATAAACACTTGAAATTAATATTATTTCAGTGTTAGATATTAATTATAGGATTATAGTTTGAAAATTATAGTTCCAATTTGTTTCCAATAGTTTCCAATTTTTCCAAATTATAAATCCATTCGGGGTTCAGAGTATTTATTTATTTCCCACATTCATTTCCCACATGCAGTACAATTTCTGTGTTCTTGTTTCGTTATTACAGTGTCCGCTTAATTTCTTTGTTTACCCTGAGAGAATGGAAATGTGTGACAACATGCCCCAATAAGTCACATGACCATGTAACAGCTTAAAATGTCACATGACCTAACCAAAAAATATACAAGACAAACTAAAATATTTTGTCAATCAAATCCAACTTTTTCCATATAAAATAATGGCTTTAACAATAACAAATAATCAGATTTTGGAGTCTGGCAATGAACACATATTTAGACATTCAAAAAAACATATACTCATCTGGGTCTGATATACTCATAATTTACTCATCTGGGTATGATATACTCATAATATACTTATCTGGGTATGATATACTCATAATATACTCATCTGGGTATGATATACTCATAATATACTCATCTGGGTCTGATATACTCATAATAACCTCATCTGGGTATGATATACTCATTCTCTGATGATCATTAGTAAACTACTCAAACATCATGACATCAGCTTACAGACACAGGTTGTGTCCACCTTAGACACAGAACAGCAGCTTCACTGCTTACATTACAATGCTGTTAATAACACACACTATAAATAATAAACACACAGACACTGCTGGAAACACAAACGAGATGCAACACACTCCAGTGCTGGAATATTCAGAAACTGCAGCTTCAGTGCAGCGGCCAATCACACTAAAGCAACAAACACTGTGTAGATCAGTGATGACCAACCGGCAAGGTCACAGAAACCTGAGACTACCCCCCCCCCCACACACACACACACACACAAACACGTACTCACACACACTCAGATCTGTGGAGTTCAGCTGAGAAACACTGGTTTCGTTTCTCTTGATTTAGTCGTTCTGTTCTTGGGCGAGATGAACAGCTTCTGGGATTCTGCAGCCGACACTCATCTTTACACACTCCTGACGTCGACACTCATCTTTACACACTCCTGACGTCGACGCTCATCTTTACACACTCCTGACGTCGACACTCATCTTTACACACTCCTGACGTCGACGCCTCATCTTTACACACTCCTGACGTCGACGTTCATCTTTACACACTCCTGACGTCGACGTTCATCTTTACACACTCCTGACGTCGACACTCATCTTTACACACTCCTGACGTCGACACTCATCTTTACACACTCCTGACGTCAACACTCATCTTTACACACTCCTGACGTCGACACTCATCTTTACACACTCCTGACGTCGACACTCATCTTTACACACTCCTGACGTCGACGCTCATCTTTACACACTCCTGACGTCGACACTCATCTTTACACACTCCTGACGTCAACCACTCATCTTTACACACTCCTGACGTCGACGCTCATCTTTACACACTCCTGACGTCGACGCTCATCTTTACACACTCCTGACGTCGACGTTCATCTTTACACACTCCTGACGTCGACGTTCATCTTTACACACTCCTGACGTCGACACTCATCTTTACACACTCCTGACGTCGACACTCATCTTTACACACTCCTGACGTCAACACTCATCTTTACACACTCCTGACGTCGACACTCATCTTTACACACTCCTGACGTCGACGCTCATCTTTACACACTCCTGACGTCGACGTTCATCTTTACACACTCCTGACGTCGACGTTCATCTTTACACACTCCTGACGTCGACACTCATCTTTACACACTCCTGACGTCGACACTCATCTTTACACACTCCTGACGTCAACACTCATCTTTACACACTCCTGACGTCGACACTCATCTTTACACACTCCTGACGTCGACACTCATCTTTACACACTCCTGACGTCGACACTCATCTTTACACACTCCTGACGTCGACGCTCATCTTTACACACTCCTGACGTCGACACTCATCTTTACACACTCCTGACGTCGACGCTCATCTTTACACACTCCTGACGTCGACGCTCATCTTTACACACTCCTGACGTCGACACTCATCTTTACACACTCCTGACGTCGACACTCATCTTTACACACTCCTGACGTCGACACTCATCTTTACACACTCCTGACGTCGACACTCATCTTTACACACTCCTGACGTCGACACTCATCTTTACACACTCCTGACGTTGACACTCATCTTTACACACTCCTGACGTCGACGCTCATCTTTACACACTCCTGACGTCGACGCTCATCTTTACACACTCCTGACGTCGACACTCATCTTTACACACTCCTGACGTCGACGCTCATCTTTACACACTCCTGACGTCGACGCTCATCTTTACACACTCCTGACGTCGACACTCATCTTTACACACTCCTGACGTCGACACTCATCTTTACACACTCCTGACGTCGACATTCATCTTTACACACTCCTGACGTCGACACTCATCTTTACACACTCCTGACGTCGACATTCATCTTTACACACTCCTGACGTCGACACTCATCTTTACACACTCCTGACGTCGACACTCATCTTTACACACTCCTGACGTCGACACTCATCTTTACACACTCCTGACGTCGACACTCATCTTTACACACTCCTGACGTCGACGCTCATCTTTACACACTCCTGACGTCGACACTCATCTTTACACACTCCTGACGTCGACACTCATCTTTACACACTCCTGACGTCGACACTCATCTTTACACACTCCTGACGTCGACACTCATCTTTACACACTCCTGACGTCGACACTCATCTTTACACACTCCTGACGTCGACACTCATCTTTACACACTCCTGACGTCGACACTCATCTTTACACACTCCTGACGTCGACGCTCATCTTTACACACTCCTGACGTTGACACTCATCTTTACACACTCCTGACGTCGACGCTCATCTTTACACACTCCTGACGTCGACACTCATCTTTACACACTCCTGACGTCGACGCTCATCTTTACACACTCCTGACGTCGACACTCATCTTTACACACTCCTGACGTCGACGCTCATCTTTACACACTCCTGACGTCGACGCTCATCTTTACACACTCCTGACGTCGACACTCATCTTTACACACTCCTGACGTCGACACTCATCTTTACACACTCCTGACGTCGACATTCATCTTTACACACTCCTGACGTCGACGTTCATCTTTACACACTCCTGACGTCGACACTCATCTTTACACACTCCTGACGTCGACACTCATCTTTACACACTCCTGACGTCGACACTCATCTTTACACACTCCTGACGTTGACACTCATCTTTACACACTCCTGACGTCGACGCTCATCTTTACACACTCCTGACGTCGACACTCATCTTTACACACTCCTGACGTCAACACTCATCTTTACACACTCCTGACGTCGACGCTCATCTTTACACACTCCTGACGTCGACGTTCATCTTTACACACTCCTGACGTCGACACTCATCTTTACACACTCCTGACGTCGACGCTCATCTTTACACACTCCTGTCCTGACGTCGACGCTCATCTTTACACACTCCTGGCAGAACAGATGTATTTATGCCACAGTCAGTGTATTATAAAGGAATGTTTCTGCATTTTTAGAACTGCAGAGCCCCAGAAGAAATGAATAATACTAATACAAAATAAATACTTGTCTGTTTTACAATAAAAAAACTAAACTATAAATTGTTTAAGATCTCATTTGAATTGTGCTAGGAGAATTTCTGGAGACTAAATTTTGCTCTAGTCATTCACTGTCAAGTCTCAGTTAATGACTAGAGCAGAGAGAGAGAGAGAGAGAGAGAGAGAGAGAGAGAGAGAGGATCAGGTTGT